ATTTTTGCCTTTCATTTTGTTTATGTGGCATATTAAATTTATTGATTTGTAAATATTATACCATTCTTGCATCCCTGGGATGAATCCCATTTATCATGATATACAATCTTTTCAATGTATTGCTAGATCTAGTTTGCCAATATTTTGTTGAGGATTTTAGTGTCTATGTTCATCAACAATATTGGCCTATAATTTTCTTTCTTTGTTGTGTCATTGATTGGTTTTGGAGTTACGATAATAATGGCCTGATAAAAAGAGTTTGGGAGTTTACCTCTTCTTGAAATTTTTGGAATAATTTGAGGAGTATAGGAGTTAGCTCTTCATAAATTTTTGGTATAATTTGCTTGTCAATTTGTCTGGTCTAGGGCTTTTTTTACTAGGAGGGCTTTTGTTTTGTTTCAATTTCACTAGCTGTTATAGGTCTATTCAGGCATTTTGCTTCTTCTTGATTCAGTTTTGCAAGATGATATGTTTTTAGAAATTGTCCATTTCACCAAGGTTGTAAACTTTCTTGGCCTATATTTAATCATAGTAATTTCTCACAATCCTTTGTATTACTGAGGTAACAGTTGTAATCTCTCCTCTTTCATTTCTGATTTTATTTATTTTGGTCTCTCTCTTGTTTTCTTGATGAGTCTGGTTAAATGTTTGTCAATTTTATCTTTTCCTTTTTTTTTTAGATTTTATTTCTTTTTAGAGAGAGGGGAAGAGAGGGGGAGAGAGAGAGGGAGAGAAATATCAATGTGTGGTTGCCTCTCACATGCTGCCTACTGGGGACCTAGACTGCAACCCAGGCATCTGCCCCAACTGGGAATCAAAAGGGGCTTCACAATTTGTTGATCCTTTGAATTGTTCTTTCAGTCTCTATGTCATTTAATTCTGCTCTGATCTTGATTATTTCTTTCTTTCTCCTCGCTCTGGGTTTTGTTTGTTGTTCTCTAGTTCACAGTTGGCAAACATAAGGCCTCTGGGCTAAATCCAGCCCTCCATCTTGTTTTATCTGTCCTGGCACCTTGTTTCTACCTGGTGGCAGCACCAAGCTCTGGCTTAACTATTAAGGAGTAGTTAACATTTACATAGTCCTAAAATAACATTCAGCCCTCTGAAGGCAACTGTGAGGCTGATGTGGTGCCCAGCAAAAATGAGTTTGACACTTCTGCTCTAGTTCTTCTAGATGTAGGGTTAGGTTGTTTATTTTAAATATTTCTATCTCTTTTAGGTTGGCCTGTATTGCTATGAATTTCCTCCTCAGGGCTGCCTTTCCTGTGTCCCATAGGTTTTGGGCTGTTGTGTGTTCATTTTCATTTGTTTCCATAAACTTTTTGAATTCTTCCTTAATCTCATTGTTAATCTATACATTATTTAGCAGCATGTTATTCAGTGTGCATGAATTTGAATGTCTGAGTTTTTTCCTTGAAGTTTGTGTCTCATTTCAAGCCATTCTGATCTGAGAAGATGCTTAATATGACTTCGATATTCTTTATTCTGTTGAAGCTTGTTTTGTGACCTACTTTGTGGTCTATCTTTGAAAATGATCCATGTGCATTTGAGAAGAATGTATATTTTGCTTCTTTGAGATAAAAGGTTCTGTACATACTAAGTCCATTTGATCCAGAATGTTTTTCAATGCCACAATACCCTTGTTGAATTTTGCTTGGAAGATCTATCCATTGTTGAAAAGAGGGTGTAAAAATCCCCTACTATGAGTGTGTTGCTGTTGATATCTTTCTTGAAGTCTTCCAAGATTCTCCTTATATATTTTGGAATTCCTATGTTGGGTGCATGTTTACAAGGGTTATATCTCCTTGATGGATTGTTCTCTTAAGTATTATATAGTGTCCTCTTTTGTCTCTATTTATGGCCTTTGTTTTGAAATTTACTTTGTCTGATTTGGCTCCTGCAGTATGGGGGATGACTTAGCACTGGGATCCTGGCGACAGCTTCTTCAGTTCTCTCCCTAAAGCCACGGGCCCCAGTCTCTTCAAGCATCTCTAGTCCACTCTTCCCGATCTTTGCTGGAGCCCAGGGTAAGGGGCTGCAAATGAAATTTTTTGTGTTGGCCCATTAAAAGGCTCTCTGTGATTCCATCTATCTGTTCCTGGCAGAGAGAAACCCTGCTGCTTTTCACAGCTTGATGTTACCTGGGTTCTTTTCGGGCTCTGGTGCTGTAGGTTGGGGAGGCCAGATTGGGGTTTAGACTCCACACTTCTCAGGGAGAACCCCCCAGCTGCTGAAATATTCCTCTGGCACTTCGGCTGCCACGCATGGGAGCCCAGCCAGCTTTCTCATGTCTCCTCTGAATTCCCTAACAGTCACATTGTGGTGAAGATATTTCTTCTATCCATGGTTATAAGGCTTCTTTCCCACTACTGTTCAGTTCTTTATTCTGGATGATTTCTCTACAATTTACTTGTGATTTTAGAGGGGTCCTGGGAGGAGGTCATGTAGCTTTTACTTAATCCTATGCCATCTTAGATCCACTTCAGCCTCATTGGCTCACTTATTTTGAATGGCTCATCATTTCACAGGTTAATAAGCTAATGTTTATAGTTTCCCAACCAACAGTGTAAAGAAACATGGGGCATATAAATATATTCTCATAAGACCCTTTTATGGTCTAAAAAGATACAGAAATTTATGTTTATTACACATTAAATATTTTCATTTATTGTATCTGTGCTAGCCTGGTAATTTTAGAGGGATCAGATTTTAGACAGGTAGAATTGCAATTTTATGTAAAAGATGTAGTAAAAATAATATCCTAGGTTTAGTAGAGCTGGAACATAATTGTACCATGTCAAATAACTGTAAATGTTATAAGTGCTATACCCTGGATTTTATGACACTATTTGTCATGTCTATAATTTATTAACTAAGTCCCTGTGCAGAAATACTACCCTAATGGTTACATGTCCTGATGAGAAAAAATCACTTTGTTTTATAAGGACCCAGTGTATAACAGAGCTTCCAGGAATACATTGGTGAAAATCATAAATTAATATAAATTTCATTTCTCTCTATAAGCTCTTGTTACAAAAATGCACAGTTTTAGCCCTGGCTGGTATGGTTCAGGTGGTTTGACCATCATCCCATACACCAAAAGGACATGGATTTGATTCTGGGAAGGGCACATGCTTAGGTTGCAGGTTTGGTCCCCAGTTGGCGCATGTACAAGAGGCAACCGATTGATGTTTCTTTCATATCAGTGTTCCTCTCCCCTTCTCTCTGCCTCCCTCTAAAACCAGTGAGCATGTCCTTGGGTGAGGTTAAATTTTTTTTTTAATATATACAGTCTTACATTTATATACAAGATAAAACAAACTTGTGAATTTTGATAGGTAAATAATGAAAAATAGGTATTACTTGTACTGCTATGCTTAGGCTTGCATAAAGGCATTTTTCTACTTACCTTCTTTATATGAACAATCTACATGGATGTTTACTAAACTTATTGTAGTGATCATTTTGCAATATAACCAAATATTGAATCATTTTGTCATGTACCTGAAACTAATGTTATATGTCAGTTTTTTCTTAATAAAAGTCATTTTAAAATCTAGATTTAAAAGATGGAAATTATTTTTTAAAAAAGGAAATTGAAGTTAATGAAAATTAGCTGGAAAATGCCATCACTAGCTAAACAACTGAGATGTTAAAGTGATGAAGGAGGTTACATCCTGCGAGCCAATGGGTACCATCTTTCTGGAGTCTCCTCCTCTGCTTCTAACCAGCCATCTGGAGAGCCCAGTCCTTCCCTCAGGCACCCAGGCTGCTGCTGCTCAGAGCTCAGACACACATCTAGAATCAGAGACAGCTGGAGAGCGTTCTAAAAGGTGCAGTTTATTGTGTTAGCATCTGCTGAGCTGAAAAGAACACCTGCTATTAAACTTAGTACCATGGGCAAGCAAAGCAGCCAGTGAAGGAGCTGCCATCCTGGTTGTGTAGAGCAAAGTGGAGGGGACAACATTACACATGACCAAACCTGTTCTATGCTTAGCAAAAGGCAAAAACAGAGCAATTGGGAGCTAGGCGACAGGCATGATATTACCCAGGTCTAAAATGTATTCGTGATAACTTTGGGAACTGAATCTTAAAAAAAAAACCTTGTCTAGCAATATGACTTTGGAAGTACCTTATGGATTGAAATGTTATGCCAGGATCTGGAGTGAACACAGGGCTGCTTCCCTTTCATCTGAGGCTTTAGGCAAGACAGTAGAAAGTACTCCTTGTTAGAAGCCTCAAAATAATTTTGAACTCTTAGTTTAAACATCTTTACCTTATGTAGCAGAAACTTCTATGTACTCTTTAATCCCTAATGTTTTATACAAATCTGCACCTAAGAGGATTAGCAGTTTATGAAAAGCCAGCCAGTGGAAGTCCAAGTTATTTAGGATAGCATTACCCATCAGTACTCAGACATATTACTTTGCTAGAATTTCCTCTCAATCTCGCTCTCTTTTTCTTTTTTGCTCTTACTATATGTCTTTTAAATTTTCTCTCTCATGAGCACACACAATCTTTGCAACATAAAATGGAATCACTCTTAACAGATCCAGAAAATTACTCCAGCAGAGCAGAGACTGCCCTCAATGGTATCCAGTCACTGTGATATAGTTTAAAATGTGAACTTATATTCCACTATTAAAAAAGTGGAAGTAGGGTAATTGGGGGTTTTATGGACCTATAAATTTTTGTGTTTATTAACCAAAGTTCTGTGGCTGAAGGCAGGAGTGTGCATGCTGCAGACTCTGTCTTGGACCCTGATTCTGGCACCCAGAAATAACATAAGACTCTACCAAGGGAAAGGGAACATTTACAGGTTGACATGAAAACAGTCTTCCTTGCAAAGGAAGAAACATGACAAGAGACATTAGAAGAGACAAAAGTCAAAGCCTTAAAGTCACATAAGGAGTATTTAATTGGGGCAGCAGTGAGTAGGATATCAGAAAAATTCTTCAAAAAGCAAGCTATTGTAATTTGTTTAATATAAACAGGGGCAGTTAAGAAAGAGGAAGACTACTCATTTTGAAAACCCTTAAAGTAGAATATAAGGCATAAAATATAAAGCCTCAGCAAATAGGAAATATTCATTTATGAGGAACTATATTTAACCACTGAGCCAAATGAATGATGATTTAGCTTGAGTCAATATTAGAGCTTCTTTTTCTTTTCCTTTTTCTCAAACATTGGTACATTCTTTTCTACTGTCACTTTTTTCCCTTTTTTGTTGTTTCTTTTAACTCTAGATCTTTATGTGGATATGCTGTGGTCTTATGACTAGTAGGTCTTCTTTTCAACTCCCTGAAATGAAGGGAGGTGACCTGGACTCTTTTTCAAATCTATCACGCTAAGGCTTTTATTATTACCAAAATGGTTCAGTTCTATGATCATGTCCTGCATTTCTCTGTAACTTAACTTGCAGCGGATGTCATCAGCCCTATAAGAAATTGTAAAAGACAGCCATCATTACAACTTTTAAAATAACTTTTAAAAACTGACTGCAGTGTATATGAATATACATATTCATATTTACAGACACATACATACTCATGCTACAAGCTTTAAAAATGAATAAAAGGACAAAGAAGATATTTTTTAAAAATCTTTAATCTCACCCTGGCTGGCATAGCTCAGTGGATTGAGCGTAGGCTGCGAACCAAAGTGTCGCAGGTTCGATTCCCAGTCAGGCCACATGCCTGGGTTGCAGGCCATAACCCCCAGCAACCGCATATTGATGTTTCTCTCTCTCTCCCTCTCTCTCTCTCTCCCTCTCTCTCCTCTCTCTCTATCTCCCTCCCTTCCCTCTCTAAAAATAAAAATAAATAAAATCTTAAAAAAAATCTTTAATCTCATTATCTGTAGAGGTAAGCCTGCCTAACATTTTCTAGTATCAACTTTTAGGCCTTTTTTGTTTTCTTTTGCTTCTCTAAAAGTTTATTTTATTCTAATTCAAGAGAGAGAAGAAGGGAGGGGGAAGGAGGAAGGGTGAGGAAAGGAGGAAGGGAGGGAGAAGCAGGAAGGGAGGGAGAGGGAGTACGGAGAGAGAGACAGAGAAACAGGGAGAGAAACATCAATTCGAGAGAGAAACATTGATCAGTTACCTCCCACATAGGCACTGACGGGATCAAACCCACAACCTTGCACGTGCCGTGACTGGAATCAAACCAGCAATGTTTAAGTTACAGAACGACGCTCCTACCAACTGTGCCACACTGGCCTGGGCTAATCCCATAAAAAGCTATTTTACTGAAAATGAAACTGGATAGAAACATGTACCTCTCTGACCTAGAATGGAATACCCTATTAGTATAGTTTGTTTGTAATACTTTATTTTACAAAAGCATCTTTCAGGTATCTGCTTTAAGAAAAATCAGAACTGCAGTGCCTAGAAGTGGTATAAGTTAGGTCCAAAGTTCTTTTATATTGGACTACGATGGGCCACATCAGAGTTACCTGGAAGCTTTAAAATGCATACACTCCTAGAAATTCCTGTGCAAAAGTCTGAGAAAGAGTTTAGAAGTCTGAACTTGCAGTCTAACGACTGTTCCCTGTGTGTCTACAGCATTTGGTATGTAGTCGATATCAGTCTATAGGGTAGGGGACACAGGAGTTGTGTTCAAATAGTTGAAGTGTGATCCATGAGTAGGAATTAGGCCTTCTGCATGGCCCTGGATGGGTTGCTGATGAAGTTAAGTTACCAGGAAGCAGAATTGGACTAAATAAAGAACTTTCTAACAAGCAGAGCAATGGAACAGTTATCTCAGAGAGCCTAGCCTAATGGAAAGTGGGCCAGATTTGAAGTCAGAAGATAAAAGAGTGGGTCAAAGCTTCATGCAAGGTTAACAAATAAGCTATGTGTGTGTCACTTTCTCTGCCTTTTTGCATCAGTGCTGGCTTAGATATTTACTAAATGTTCTCCTAATATTGTTTTCACTGTGTTACCATACTGAAGGACAATCACCCTTTATGTATATGCCTCCTCCATAGGAATATAAGCTCCTTGAGAGCAGAGACTATCTTATTGTTGGTATCCTAGTACCAAACACAAGGTCCATTATTGTATATCTAATGACTGTTGAATGTATTTTGATGAAAACAATTAAATCACTGATTGCAGCAAGAGTAGTGCTCAGTATTTAATCCCTAGCACTCACATCTTGACGATACTGATGAATTACGATTGTATAAACTCCTTTCATGTCACTCCTGCAGCACTTAGCTAAGGGTGTGGTTAGTTCACAGTAGTGCTAAATAAATATTTTCTCAACTGAATTACGAAAACTGGTTGCTACTCCTTTTCTGTGCATACTGGAAAGGTTGGTATAGGGAAGCAAATCACTTAACCTAACTAAGCATTATTTTCCTCATTCGTAGAAACAGTAATAATACTACCTATCTGGAAGGGTAATGTCAGTAATAAACTAAAAGCAATTAACACAGCTTGGAACAAAGCAACTGTTTAAAATCAGTATTAGATTGAATTAAGATGTTGATCAACTGTAGTCCTCAATACATAATGAAAAAAATTTTTTAATTCAGATGTAAATTCAATTTTGAATGAAGCAAAACCAATCTGTTTCATTTAATATCAAAATATAATGCTTACCTTTCTTCTGAAGATGAATTAACCAATAACCTAGTGATAAAAGGAAATTTTAAAAAAGAGCACCAATGGGAGAAGCTCAGACTGAACAAGTTTTATATATATTACAATATGAAATTATATAATATTTACCAAATTTCATGTTTTCAGATGACTGTCTTCATTCTCTTTCAAGGAAGACAATAAAATGTTAGAGTAGTAATCCCAATACCATTTTCACAATTTTATGTCATTCTTATGTGTGATTTTGAAAAATAGGAAAGAGGGAAATCAAACATTATTCTTACCTCCTGGGCATCTGAAATACCCTTTTCTGGAAGTGCAAGCTTTTTCTGAAACCATGTATAAATCTTTATGAGCACGATTTCAAAAATAACTCCTGGGAAAATTAAAATAAAGAAGATTGGCACCCAATCATTTTGCAAAATGCAAGACTCTAGAACGTCCCATAAATTTAAAAATGTATTATCTTCTAATCCACTCATTACAGCTTTTTACAATAAATAAAATTGCTTTGATATTTTTATATTTGAAATAGATTGATGTGAGGACTCAGAAGTCCTCATTTCAAAACCACATGAAATGCTCTGCTGGAAAAAAATTTCCAGTCCTGCTCAGTGTCTTATCAGGGGCAGCAGTGATTAAATAAAGTTAGGTATGGCCCTGGCTGGTGTGGCTCAGTGGATTGAGCACAGGCTTACAAATCAGAGTCACTAGTTCTATTCCCAGTCAGTACATTTGCCTGGGTTGTGGACAAGGTCCCTAGTTGGGGGCATGTGAGAGACAACCACACATTGGTATTTCTCTCCTGATCTTTCTCTCTCCCTTCCCCTCTCTCTCAAATTAAATAAATAATCTTAAAAAAAAGTGAGGTATGTGTCATAATGGGTATTTAACTGTGCACATAGCAACTTTAGCAATAATAAAAGTTCATTTGTGAGATGTGTGATGCTACAGATAGCTTTTTTACTTAAAATTTTAAAAATAATCCTCTATACATTTCACAAAAAGAAACATGATTCTATAAAGAATCCCTTAGCATAGTTGGGTTATCACTGCCTTGTAATTCAAATTTAGAATAAATTTGACTCGACACAACCATTTTCTATTATCTGCAGGAATAGTTTGGTATATTTTATGACTCTATGTTCAGAAAAATATAAATGTAGGGTTACCATATTTAGAAACAAAAGATAAAACAAAACTCGATGTCTCAGTTTAATTTAAATCTCAAGATAATTAAAAAATTATTTGGCATTTAAGTATGTCCCATTGTGACCATATAGGACATGACAGCTTGTCTCTTATGAGCCTGTGGATTTTTTTTTCCTTAACCTTAAAATACCTAATTTTATATTTCTTTTTGCAGGTCTGTTGGAATGTCCTGCAACAATCTTCTGTTGTACTGAAAACCAAAATTAGATTTTACCATGGTCTAATGGCAAATTCCCTTTTCACTGTCTGGTGAGTCCAAGGAGTGGCTACTTGTAATGCTTCCTGATGTCAGAAAAAGGGTGAAGCAGAGTCAGATTTAATTCCTCCTCACTTCCCTGTTTACTCACAAATAAAGTATACCTTGGATTTAAGAGTACTTTCCCTTTGCAGATGTAATTAATACTTCATCTTCACTTAACTCAAGATGGGTTGAGAAAAGAAATATTACTCTTTAAACAAGAGTTAACCTCAGGCCTCTTTGGTCACATAAGTTTGAGTACAAGGAAGATTTATGGGGCTCTTATTTTTCCTTAGTATTGGAGACAATAAAATCAAAGGCACATTCTAAGTGTAAGAGTTTAGTCTTCCAGTCTACAGGACTAGGTAGTTATGATCTTTATTTAGATTAACTGTGATCTTGGAGTTTGTCTTTGCAAAGAATGCCTTCCAGAATTCATAGTAGGCATTCATTGCTTCTGGAAAAAATTTCAGCAATTCCTCTGGATTTTTCCATGATAAAGTACATCCTCCTCTGACTCCCCACCTACATACACAGGGTAATTTTATTCTTCTGAGTTGTTTTTTTTTTCCTATAAAATATAATGCACCTGGCAAAACATTCAATTTCTCTCGCCTTATGGCAGGCATTCTCTTATTCACTTAAATAAAACCTTAAAGGGGATTCAATGTTTTACTTGAGTTGCTTAGATTTTTCAGGGATTTATGGTACTGAATCTCTACTACTGAATAGCTCTTACAAGAACTAAAAAGGAGCTTCTGTGTAACACTCATGGTGATAGTTAAATTTGCAGAGTATCCCCCTTCAGGGTTTTGTAATTTGTTTGTTACAGTGATCCCTCACCTATCGTAGGATATGTTCCAGAGACCCACACAATAGGTGAAAATCCGCAAAGTAGTGGCCTTATATTTATTTTATTACTTATATATATTTTAAGGCTTTATAAACCCTTCCAATACTCCTATAAATCTTTCCCACACTCTTATAAACACTTCATATGCTCTTAAACACTTTCTACACTCTTAAACCTATGTAATTTTAACATATAAAACTCTATATGGGTACTCATCAGTGAAGTATACAGTCGTCCCTCGCTATGTCACAGTCCACTTACCTAGGCTTCACCATATTGCGGAGACGCAGTAAGAGGAGCGTGATATAGTGAGGGCCGATTGTATTTATGTACTTGCCTACTAATAAAAGTACAATTATCTAGTTTTCAGCACAAACGAAACACTTCTCTCCTTTGCACTAGTAACCTCTTATTTCAATCTCAAGTGAGCAGTATTATGTAACCTAAATTTATTTTTAAAAGTCATAGACAATAAATAATAATGAACACCAGAGAAATCCTATCATTAACAGTAATAGACCCTACAGGAAAACTCAGAAAAAAATATTAAAGTTTTTAAAAATCTTTATCTAACAGTGTCACATTCTTTGAGCTAGGTTTTTATTCTTTATTTACCAAGAAAAAAGTCCCAATGATAGATATATAAATAGCAATATAAAACCAGGATTACTCAGAATGGTTAGAAAATCTTCTGTATATTACTTAGTTCAATACAACAAATATTTATTGAATAATGAAAGCATAAGGTGCTGAATAACTAAAAAGTGCTTTATGGATACAAATATGAATGTAATTTAAGTGGTATGAACCAAATATGTCAATAACTTACTGAGAAGGCAAAGTATGATTGAAAACAAAAAGCAAGATATTAATGTGGGTTCCTAGGAAAGATATGTGGTTGGGGTAATTCAAAGGAAGTTATAAGGAGGGAAAGAGAATGAGTAGATTTTGGTAACAGGCAAACACTAATGAAGAGTTTCAGGAAGAGGAGACTAAAATAGACCCTGGATAGTTCTAAAACTTTGTGTAGTCCATGTTACCTGAGTACTCTGTAAGGTAAAGAGTGTGTGGGAAATAAGGCTAAAATGACAGGGCCTATTATAGACAGCCTTGAACTAAGGACTGTAACCTTAACAGTTACTCTTGGAGATCTAAATTTTGGAACTGGAGGTGTCAATTGGTTTACTTAGGCAAGGAGACAGTAAAATAGAAAAATCAATTAGGCTACTGCAATTATACAGATGAGAATTGTTGAGGGTCTGAATTAGTGACTAAATTTACTATAGTAAAATAAGTGCTGTTTTCCTTTTTTAAAGATGACATTCTTCTGCAAAATTACTTTCTCAATTGCACACAAATCAGACAAAAGTGCCACTGTAACAAAATTCAAATGTTTAATTTTTTCAAACTTAACTGCATTAATAAAAATAAATTATATTTAGACCAGCTTCAAAATTTGTGCATCATCTTTACAGAACTATGCTTTCAAAATACATTTTGTAAAAGACATCAATTTCACAATTAAAACATGTTTAAAAATGTGGTAACATTAAAGAACATTAAATTACTTGAAAATATACCTCATAATGCTGAGAGTTATGCCGTTCTCTATCAAATTAACTGTATTTGTATTCAAAGTAATATGGCTTTGAACTAAAGACAATTATTTCTTGTCCATTTCAGTGACTTCTTGGATCCAAAACAAAATTTGTGTATTTATTTCTTTGAAAACGTCATTTGTTGACCGTCCTTTCACTGCCATAGAATGATTTGCCTTCTCAATCCAGTAGATTTTATTAGGAGCTTGCATTTTCTGTGCAACTTTCTCCAGCAAGTTCTAAAGGAAAAAAGAAAAGGATACTAGACTAATGCTCTATTTGTATCTAATAAAAACTCACTCTCTCCTGCCCCACCTTTAATAGTACCCATTTACTAAATATTCATTAAATACCTAGTGTACAAACAATTTTTGAGGCAATGGAATGTGCAAGGAAATGTCTACTAAAGTGGCAGGCAGTCCCCATCTCTCAGAAACTGCAATACTACAGAACTGATCTAGAATTTATTATTGATAAAAAATAGGTAAATTGGACAAAATAATTCTAAAAACATTTTCCAAGGAAAGTGTATGCTCTAAGAAATATATTCATCTTTACTAATATTTACAAGTTACTCATTTTTCTTGAGTCAATTTTATTAAAAAATTGAAGAATCTGCTAGAATGTTGAAATGATAAATCAATGTGCAGTCTAGTAATCCCCAAATCACAAGATGCAGATTAATCCTTCATTTCCCAAGCAAAAGTTAATCTATTTACCAACTCTCTTTCCAGGGAGATGAATTTTATCATTATGCTTTTTCTAGGTTTCCCAAAGCAACAGAGCAACTAAGGCACAGAACTAGCCTTAATTAGTCAAATCAGTATCTCTTTAAAGAGACTGAATGCCATAGGTAATATCTTGTTCCCAAGGTATTTCTGTCTTTCTTTCTCTCTCATTCACACAAATATCAAGTTACAATTTACCTTTTCACACATTTCATCTGCTGAGCCTGACACAAATAATACAGGTTCTTTTATACGAAAGAGATTTTCATCTCTAAGTTTATTCTGCTGCTTTGGATGGTGCAGTGGATAAGAAATACAAATGAGACCACGGACAAAATCATCAGCATCATCTGGTTCAATATGACACATTACAGCAGCAGCTGCTCTTGAGCCCATTGAACGACCTAAAATCAATTAAAATTAAGTTAAGTTTAACATATTAACATTCACACATAAAATAGGAGATATGTGGCAAATTAGATTTGATTTACTGTTTATCTCTCATATTTCTATATCAACAAATTAACTCCAAAAAGTGGCAATTAAGAACTCACAATACCCATAATGGACACTTATAGCTTGTGAAGAGCTAAAAACTAATCCTAAGTCAATTTTTTTTAGAAAAAGAAATTATTTTTCTGAATGATTATGAGGACAATCCTCATGAAGGAATCATTTGAGAGAAGGTAAACCGGATACATAAATAAAAGGAGAAATCTTTGAATTACAATATATATCTATGAGGCTTAAATTTGCTTTAAATATCTAAAGTCCTTTGATGTTATACAAGGAAGTGATTTATCAACACCAAACAAAACAATCCTTATCTTAAATTAGCTTCCCATCATCTACTTTAATTCTCTATTACCTATTCCTATATTATTAGTAGTACATTTAAAACAAGTATTCACAACTATTGCAACTTACCTCCAAGAAAAACACCTACAAGTTTGTATTCTCGTGAGGTCTTGAGGTAACTCTGAAAAAAAAAAAATCAACAAAAAATTATTAATTCTTCTCCTATAAAATATTCCACTAGAAAATCAACAAATATTACTCATCATTACTGAAATGTAAGAAAATCTTTGCAAAGACAACCACAAAATCTTGAGATTCTCTCTTAAAAGAGTTAACCAGTTCTTTGCTTTTTCTGGTGATGCCTTCACTGTCAAATTGTATGTTGGGTAATACAGACAAATATATAAGCAAAAAAAACCCACATCACCAGTCTAAAAAGAAATCAAGTATTGAAATATTTTTGAAGACCAAATTATGTTTTTAAAAAAGGCCAGTAAAAGCTTACAACTAATAAGAAAATTATAATAATACTAACATCTACTTTAAAGCTCTGAAAAACTTAGAAAGCTAAAAGTAATTTGGATTAAAAGAAATTTCAGTTTACTTTATCGAGGGACTTTATAGTTTCTAAATGACACATAACAAAACCATGCTATAGCTATACATTCATAGTATAGTAGGCAAAATATCCAGAACTATATTCTAAAGTTATATATTCTAGTAAGAAAACTGTATCATACCCTGGCTGGCATAGCTCAGTGGACTGAGCGCAGGCTGCGAACCAAAGTTTCACAGGTTCGATTCCCAGTCAGAGCACATGCCTGGGGTGCAGGCCACGACCCCCAGCAACCGCACACTGATGTTTCTCTCTCTCTCTCTCTTTCACCCTCCCTTCCCTATCTAAAAATAAATAAATAAAATCTTTAAAAAAAGAAAAAAAACTGCATCATAAGTAGCTTCTTTGGCAGTACCATGGAGGACCATTTATGATGTGAGTACTCATCTCCATAGAAACTTCATGTACTGATGAGATTTTAAGAATAGTCATTAAAAGATATTTAAATTAAATCAAATGACTGCTAACAAAATTTATTAAGAATTTTAAAATAGAATTCTAAGTAAATATAAAGAAATTTTCTTACCAAGACTGATTTATATGCTTTAACTCTATGTACAATATTAAGGCCTTTACAGGTAAACCTCAGGCAAAAAAAACCATGAGATGCAAGATGGGATGACAGTGACATCAAATGAGGAAGATTCATATCTCCTGATGCTCCATGTGTAAGAATTACTCCATATGTTAAGCTCTTGCTAGGTACCAAACAAACAGCATCTAGTAATTTATTTCCAAAAGGTATTTTTAATTTAACCTAGAATTCAAAAGAATAAAGGGATTAAAAATTACTTCCTTGCCTATTCAGACAACTGAATAACTATATGTTTGTTCTGCAAAACCCATGACTCAAGAAACAGCCTCTAAATAAAAAGCAATATTAATAATAGCTAATAGTTAAGAAGTATTGTGCGTTGAGTACTATTATGAGTTTTTATATGTATTAACTCATTTAACCTTCCTAATAATACTATGAGGCAAATACTATTATTGTTTCCATTTTACAGGTGAAGAAACTGAGACACCATAGATTAACTAACATGCCCAAGATTACATAGTCACTAAGTAAATTCAAACTTTGGCTGTCTGCTCTAAAGTCCTTACTGTTAACCACTAGTGCTATAGTGTCTCTTATAGTAAAAGCTGAAAATAAGAAAATCACTCTGGAGCATTATAACTAAAAAATAAATAAATAAATAAATGAGCCCTGAAGGTGAAGTACATATGAAAATGTGCATTACCTCTGTATGACTCATTTTCACTGTTGAATAACAAACTTAAAGTGCATTACATCTGAGAAGCAAAGGACATCTCCCTGAAAAGAAGATTCTGTTGTGAAAGTTGGATTGGCAGACATGGATATGATACAAGAACTATGAATGAACACATTCAATAGCGGAAATAAACATATTTAGAAGTATTTCTATAAGAACTGGTATCTTTACATATGCATTATTTAGTTATTTTCAAGGTTCTGGGGCCAGGTGTGGGGCCAGCAGATGTCATATAATAAAAAGCCAGTGTGATACCTCAACAAGGAAGCCTTAAGAAAATTTGTATCAAAATGGGATGCTGTATGTTGACATTTACATATTCTAAGCATCTTTATTCTCAACTATCTTTAACTTAATTTCACAGCATCTTTCTATTAAACTATTTCCTTCCTAATTATATTTCTCAATTCTTCCTTTCACTATGCAATAATACCTTGAATAACTGGATAGTGCTGCCAATTTCTGTGCATTTTGAAGAATCTGTGGTTTATATAGAATCGTTCCACAGTATTCCTTGCTGCTGGTTTAGAATTAAGCTAAATTTGCTAAGACATTTACTTTCTAGTGCCTAATATTTTATTGTTTTTGTTCCCTTTTCATTTCCTCCATCCTTGTGAGTTTGTCTTTTAAAAAATTCCCTTTACTGTAACTCTATGGAGATTTCATGAGGGAGTAAAATTAGATACATGTATTCAACCCACTATCTTAACCCAGAATGCTCTACGATTCCTCAACAATTTGGGCTTTTGTTTGTTTTCAGGAAAACTATTCCCTTCCAGTAGACAGTCTGTTCCTCACAACTGGTGTACACGTTCTGTACTAAGGAAACAATGAAATTGTTCCAGGATATAATCTCACCACAACCTGGTCTAGCCAATTTCGGTTATAATCTCTGGTTTTGGATTCCCATAGGGGAGGGCTTGAAACCCGGCTCAGCTGCAAGTGGAGAAAACACCACCAACCTCAGAGATGCTGCGATGATTAGCTGATAACCTGTACTGTATTTAGTAGTGTCCCCACAATACAATAACCAATTGCATCTTATGCTGAAGGATCAAAAATGCCACAACCACTGTAACTTCCAACTGGAAAAACGTGTATTATCTATTAAGTCGCAAGCAGTACACTGGAAATCATGGAGGGGAAAAAAAAAGAGTTCAAGTCTTGGGGAGGGGGGAGGGGGCGGGGGCGTCGATAATCTGGCTAGATCTGCAACTAACACCAAGCCTTACAAGAGTCGATACTCTAAGGAGGTCTTTGGAGTCTGGAGTTCAAAGGCATCTGAAAAACGGTTTATCACTGAACTAACGCGCGTGCGCCAGAGCTGTGTGGTACTGTTCCGAGGACCCCGAGCAACCCCTAAAAGCTCGGAGGCTTGCCTCAAGCTAGCTGCCGGTGATCAACTCGGTGATCAACTCGTGTGACCCCTGCAGGACCCGTTCGGCTCTGCCCACCCGCATGCTCACCACACTCCGGCCTCCTAATCTTCCAGGCAAAAGTAGCCCCAGAGGCCGGTGCCCTCGGGCAACGGGCAACGTACGAACTTAAACTGAACGCCTTGCGGACCGACAAGAGCTCCTGGTGAGGGTACAGCTGGAGTCCGAAATGCTTAGGACAGCGCCATCAGCCACTCTAGCAGTCTCTTGAAAGTCCGTTCCTGGCGTATTAACGCCAATGGCGGCCGCCGCTGCACTTACCGGGGAAGGGGAAGTAGCGGGTAGCACCTATCCGCCCTTAATCAGTCCAGGGAGCAAACTTCTCCTCTAGAAAGAACCCTTTCGCCACCACCCGCCAGAGTGTTCCATTAAAGCGGAAGCGCGGGCTGGGCGCAGGTGGGGCCAGGGGCGGGGCTTCCGCCGCCCTCCACCCCCCACCCCCCACCCCCAAGTGGTCCAAGCCTTTCTCCGGATTCGCCTTTCTGAGGACAAGCGCGTGACTGGCAAACAGCCAACCTTCTAATACTGTCTAATTGCCAACTTGCTCCTCTCTGGAACCTTCCCCACCCCAACTATTCCGTTATAACAGGCAGGTCAAAAAACATGGGGTAGGCTCTGATTCTCTCTCTCACACCCCACAATTAGCTAATCGCGTTGGCTCTATTTACAAATATACATAGAATCCAACTACTTCTCATATTTTTAACAGACTGGCTGGAGCCCCACCATCATCTTAACTTGGATTATTGAAATGATCTGCTAGATTATCTCTTGTTCCCATGCTTCCCCCCACCTCTTTGTTATCAACACAGAGACCAACTAGACCCAGCTGAAATGTAAACCCCTTGGCTGGAAACCTTCCAAATACTTCATATCTAGCTCATAATCAAGGCCAAAAGGCTTTAAAATGAGCGCCAACTTTTTATACAGTCTGTCCTATTGTTACAGGGTGCAGCCAAGAGAGGGGACCCCAAATAGGCATTTGAAATGGGGTCCAGAACTTAAGATGTCCAGGAGATTTTAAGATGTCTTCACCCCCATCCCCCAGGTGTGGGTTGGGGGAAGGGACACATGGAGCAGGGCCTTTGAGAGCTGTTTCATACAGCAACAGCCTTGTGGCTAACCTCTGTTGTGGTCATTTAACATATCTATAGCCTTTGGCTGGTCGCTTGGATATGTTAAATAGCTGTGGCCATGCTCTGAGCCAGGGGAATGGAAGTAACTACCCCACCAAGATGTAACTGGGGAGCAGGTCCCCCTAGTTACAGCACCTGCGTGGGAGCTCAGAGAAGATTGGCTCCATGACATGGGGTCACCCCTGCCCAGACCCACGATGGCGACCAGAAAACCTGGAAAAGACAGCAGATTGAGGGCAAGTGTGGCCGAGTGTGGGAGGAATCAGAAATGGGGCTGCAGAGAAAGACTGGCGCGGGGATTTAAACCCAGATGCAGCAGCCATTGAGAGAGAGAGAACCATGCAGCTTTAGCAGAATGACTCCCGCAGCCCGGCAACAAGAGAGAATCACTATGCAGCTTTAGCAGAGAACCGCCACTCGCCTTTGGCAGAGTGGCGACCCCCCGCCCTGCAGCCATTGTGCAGGGAGAGAAGCATGCGGTTTTGGCTGAGTGGGGACTCCCATGGCCCTGGGAGAGAGGACCATGTGCCTTTGCCAGAGTGGGAACCCCTGCAGCTTTAGAAGGGGGAACCACCGCCTGGTTTTAGCAGAGATCCCGGAGACACAGCTGAGGGTGCCAGGAACCCAGGGAGGTCTCCCAGTCAAGACGGAGTACTAACTGGGAATAAACAAAGGACTGCCTGAGTCATGGACTTCTATTTTCTTTCCTAAGATACGGTACTCTGAACTGGGCAAAGGGGGAAGGAAGGACTGTGTCTGTTTGTGGGTGTTTTAAAGGGACTTTAGGATTTTTGATAAAGACATTAGGTCACTACTTTAACTTTGTATAGCATTAAATAAACATTTCCTTTCCTTTTCACAAATCTCTGGCATTGAGAGACGTCTTTCCTCTGGCGGCGGACATAACGGACCTGGGGGCTTTTTTCAGTAATAGTATATTGTCCCAGGTCCCCCTTGTTTGTTCTGTAACATTATCACCTCTTACCTTTCGATTTCCTACTATTCTTTCCCTGGCTCCTTCAGCTCTAGGGACCAGGGCTTCTTTGCTATCCTCACATTCCCCTAAACCCACCTACTACAGGGCTTTTTTACTGACTGTCCCCTCTTTTCACAGTGTTCCCATTGGCTAATTCCATATGTCTTCATTTACATGTCATTTTCTCCGTGGGCCTTCCCTAATCACCTCACAGTTTTTATCCTTCTATATGATCACCTCACATACTATGAAGTAGTGGACTGTAAACTCCCCATGATGGCAAGGTGTTTTGTTCTTGTTATTTTATCTTGAATCTTCTATATATGGACCAATGCCTGGCAAGTTAATATGTCTTGAATGAATGAATCTTCCTAAAGCCCAGTGTGGTTGGTAACTGTCCTGTTTTCTGCCACAGAGCATGTAAGGAAATAAAATTCAGAAAACCTCTTGTCATTTATCTCAGGGGTTTTCCTGAATTACAAATCTTAATTAACATTTCTTAACTCCTAATTTTCTCTAGCTGTGATTTTTTGGAATTAATTAAATATTTATGAGAGACTAAACTAACCTGAAAACCCTTAAAATGCAAAAGCTGGAGATACAGCAGATTCTTATTATTCACTATCATTATGTTCATCATTATAAAGTCAAGAGGAACATTGGATTAGGAAATATCAAAGCATTGCCCCTGGGGAAATAAAGATTTAGTTTAAGACAGAGAACAAATGGAATGATTCAATTCTTTGGGTAACTGGTACCTTTGAGCAGATAAGGAAAATTTCTTCCAGAGCCACAGGGAGTAGAAAATATCAGTAGCTGGGTAAGATTTCAGATCTGTGTTGGGAAGGAAGTTGACCTCATTTGGGATGTGGAAGAATGCAAATAAACGCTAGTCAGGTAATAACTGACATCTCCTGGTCTCTGCTCTCAAACCATGAGCTGATTATACTTTCTGAATACTCTATTAATTCCATCTGGATCTCTTCAGAGTCATCCTCAAGATTCGAGTACAACAGGTTCAGCTTGTTCAAGGGTGCCTGTCTACTCCCCTCCTAACCATTCTGAATGAATATTTCTTCTTTAACTCCTTGGTTGTTGGACTTTCATATAATTCAATTTTCTGGCAGTTCTGGTTATTTTTTGCTTTTAAATTTGCTGTTGTACTACTTTTGGTTGTGCAAGAAGGCAAAGTGTATCTACCTACTACTCCATCTTGGCCAGTAGTCCATATGCATTTGAAAAGAATGTCTATTTTGCTTCTTCAGGGTGAAAAGTTTTGTAAATATCAATTAAGTCCATTTGGTCTAGGATGCCATTCAATGTCGCAATATCCTTATTGATTTTTTGGGGGGGCTAACTATGCATTGTTGACAGTGGGGTGTCAAAATCCCCTATGGCACAGGTGGGAAACAAAAGGCCCATGGGCAGAATCCGGCCCTCCATCTTTTTTATCTGGCTTGCACCTTGTTTCCTGGCAGCAGCGCCAAAGTCTCACTAAACTGTTAAAGAGTAGTTACATTTATATTTTCCTAAAATTAATATTTGGCCCTTTGAAGGCAACCTCGAGGTTGGTGTGGCCCCTGGTGAAAATGAATTTGTTACCCTTGCCCTATGATGACTATAGTGTTGTCGATCTCCTTCTTAAAGTTATCCAAGGTTTTCCTCATATATTTATGTGTTCCTATGTTAGGCACATATATGTTACAAGGGTTATATCCTCTTTTTGACAACTTCGTAAGTATTATGTAGTGAATTTCTTTGTCTGTTGTTATGGCTTTTGTTTTGAAGTTTTTTGTCTAAATATTGCTACCCTAGCTTTTTTTCATGCCCATTTGCTTGAAATATTTTTTCCATCCCTTTACTTTCAGTCTGTGTAGATCTTTTATTTGAGGTGGGTCTCTTGAAGATAGCATATATGCAGGTCATGCTTTCTTATCTATTCAGCTATCCTATGTCTTTTTTAAAGTTTAATCTCTACTATATTTTCCATTACCATTTAGTTTCCTTATACCCCTTACCCCAGCAGTGACCATACTGTTGTCCATTTCCATGAGTGCTTTTTCCTTTTTGTTCAATCCCTCCACCCCTAACCAACCCCAAAGCTGTCATCCTGCTCTCCATCTATGAGTGTCTTCATTTGCCCTGTTAGTTCAGTTTGTTCATTATATTCCACAAATGAGTGAAATCATATGGTATGTGTCTTTCACTGGTTATTTCACTTAGCATAATATTCTCCAGGTCAATCCATACTGTCAGAAAGGGTAAAGTTTTCTTCTTTTTGTGGTCAAGTAATATTCCATTGTGTAAATGTCTCATAGTTTTATCCACTCATCTACTGATGGATACTTGCACTGTGCCCATATCTTGATGAGTGTAAATAACATTGTAGTGAACGTAGAGGTGTTTATGTTCTTTCAAAATACTGTTTTGACATCAGCAGGAAAATCTCAGACATTCCACGCAGCAACATCTTCACTGCTATGTCCCCTAAAGCAAAAGACATAAAGGAAAAAAGAAACAAATGTGACCTCATCAAACTGAAAAGCTTCTGCATGGCTAAAGAAAATATTAAAATGAAAACAGAACCAACTATACAGGAAAACATATTTGCCAATGATACCTCAGACAAGGGTTTCATCTCCAAAATATGTAAAGAACTCATATGACTCCACTACAGGAAGACAAAAAAAACAATTAAAAATGGGCAAAAGAATTGAACAAACACTTCTCCAAGGAGGACATACAGAGGGCCCAGAAACATATGAAAAGATGCTCAGCATCACTAGCCATCAGAAAGATGCAAATTAAAACCACAATGACATACCACCTCACACTGGTCAGAATGGCCATCATAAACAAAGCAACAAATATGTGTTGGAGAGGTTGTGGAGAAAAGGGAATCCTAGTGCACTGTTGGTAGGAATGCACACTGGTGAAGCCACTGTGAAAAAGAATATGGAATTTCCTCAGAAAACTAAAAAGGGAACTGCCTTTTGATCTGGCAATTCCACTGCTGGGATTATGCCCTAAGAGCCCTGACACACCAATCCAAAAGAACCTATGCACCCCAAAGTTCATAGCAGCACAATTTACAACAGCCAAGTGCTGGAAGCAACCCAAGTGCCTATCAGTAACTGAATGGATCAAAAAACTATGGTACATTTACACAATGGAATTCTATACAGCAGAGAGAAAGAAGGAGCTCCTACCCTTTGGGACAGTATGGATGGAACTGGAGAGAATTATGCTAAGTGAAATAAGCCAGGCTGTGAGGGACAAGTACC